CTTTCCTCTTATCTTATTCAGCTTATTTTCCTATTCTCCAATTCAACCTGTCTTTCCTGGCTAGCCATTTCCTTTTACAGCTATATATTTCTTATGGCTTCTCTTCTTCCTTTCTCAGACCCAGCTATTTTTGCCTATATGTTTATCTTACTTCCTTTATGTTAACCTTTCCTCTTTCCCACCATAGCTTCTCTACTCAGAAATTTCCACTGCAGCAAATTCAATTTTAAATTTCTCTTTCAATATTAAATTTTGAAGACCTTTCTTTTACTTCTATCAACTGGGACAAAGGGTATCAAATGATTATAGAATTATGAGGTTTGTGAGGGTGCAAAACACGGCAGTTTGCTGTGCATGTCACCCCTACATGTCACCCCTACAACTAATACTGAAAAATAAGCCAAGAAAATTTGCTTTTATATATGTGCAGCAAGATTATTGAATACACAAAGATGAAAAGGAAGAATGCTTAGTGAACTATGTAGTGAATTATGATTGTTGCTCTTTAAAAATTTGGATATAGAATGCTGATGAAAATGTTTTAATTGTGGAATTGAGGGAACTATAAATGTAGTAGCAGCATCTGGCATCTATAAAAGTAGTAGCAGCATCTGTTGGGTGAAAAATTAACAAGGGTCAAACCAAATTAGATAGGAAACCTCAGGGTATCCCAGGACTAGACTGAAAGAATCTGGAAGAAGGGATCGGTAAAACCACTTCCATATTGTTATGAAAAATATTATGTAGATGTTACTAGATCATCACTAGGCCAAATTAGTCAGAAGTATATGTTAAATGATGGCTTGCCACAAGGTTCTATGCTGGCTCCACTACTTTTTAATATTTACACATCAGATCTAGTAGGCCCTGCTGCAAGAAAGTTTATATACACTGATGACATCACATTGATAAAACAATCTGAAGACTTCAATACCTGTGAAAAAGCTCTTGATAATTCTTTAAAGGAAATGGATAAAGTTTTTTGAAACCTGGAGGCTAAAACACAACATTAACAAAACCAAAGTCACCTTTTTCACTTGAACAAACAAGTTAACTATACACCAAAAGTGGAATTTAGGAACCAGCTATGGAAGTTTAATCATAATCCAAAGTATTTAGGAATGACCCTTGATCATCCCTTAATTTAAAGGGAACACTTAAGAAAAACCATAGATAAAATAAAAACCAGGAACAATATTCTACATATACTTTCTGGCATCAGCTGGGGAGCAGGAGCTACAGCTCTTAAGACATCAGCTCTTGCTTTGATGTATTTGGCAGTTGAATATTGCAGCCATATATGATTAGTGTTCACACAAAAACAGTGGATACTCAGTTTAATCACACTATCAGGCTAATATCAGGAATTATTAAAACAATGCCTTCCGAATCACTACGAGTACTATCTAAAGTACCACCACAAAACAATCAGCCTTAAAAAGGGCATGGCAGAAATGTGAGGCAAACCAATTATTACTTATACACAAGCACTGTCATAATGAAGTATTCAGGCTCAAATCTTGGAATCCACCATGGAAACATGGACAGCAATTAGTCAGAGAAGACTTTGATATTGAGACAGCATGGTGCCAGGAATGGGCAACTTCTAACTTAGATCTGCTTAATTTAGTATCTGATCCAATACAGTGCCCCTCTAGCTTTGATCCAGAATAAACTGGCTATCTTGGTCTTTCATCTGCATTTAGTATAATTCTGTTTGTTCTTGTCTGCAGTTTTATTTCTAATATGTTTTGTGTCAAATATATGTCCAATATATAATCCTTACAAATTTGAGTAAACCTAAATAGTAGATAGCTGAAGGTATTCTTTGCTTGTGTCTCACTTTATAATACTGCTTCAAAGTATTTGTAAGAAAGAGATTTTGCTTAGTACTGTTTATACACATTACATATGTGAACAAATGTGCTGGGTAGATAATTCACAATCCCCAGATTTATAAACTAAATCTGGACATGTGTTCTGTACCCTAATAATACAAGTTTTAGGTGACAATTGAATGTAATAAGCTATTTTAGGTTGCACTGGTAATTCTGTATATTGAGAATTCATTGCCTTACTCAGATTTCACGAAGGTAGCTTGTTTATCCAACTCTGTGAGGAATAAGCCAGTAACAAGGAAAAATCTAAGCTTGTTGAGAAAAAGTATACAAAGTAACCTGTGGTTATCTGAGAAGTTGGTCCTGATCTATATGAGTAATTGGTGAATAAGTAGCAAATCTCCAGGAAGTTGACAATATATGAAATGTAAATAAAGTACTTACAGGATTGGAAACTTGATTACAATAGAACAGGACTTTTTAACCTTTTCACCCATTGTACCACTTTTAGGATATGGCAGCATCCGAGTACCACCAGTCGCCTAGCAAGGTGTCAAAAACTTGATGACAAAAAAAAGGGGGGGGGGAGTGATAAAGTACAGGTAGTCCTCGATTTACAACAGTTCGCTTAGTGATTGTTCGAAGTTACAATGGCACTGAAAAAAGTGGCCCCCAAGCCACAGCTGAGCAAGACGCCTGCCCGCCCAGCGGCGCTCTTCCTCCTGTCCAAGGTTTTCATTGTTGTGAGCATTTCTATTGAGGATTGGCAGCGGGGTGGGTTTTTTTTTTTTTTTATTCCCCTCGTCTGCTGGGTGGTTGCAGCAGGTTTTGGTCACCTCACATGACCCTGGGATACTGTGACCGTCATAAATATGAATCAGTTGCCAAGCATCTGAATGTAAATCACAAGACCCTGGAGATGCTGCAACATTCCAGCTGATCGGCGCTTCTTCTGGGCTCAAGCGCCAGGATCAGCGCCGAGCTCCACGTGGAGCCTGGCGCTGATCCTGACGCTTCCGCTGAGCCCTGACAGCCCTGCAGCTCCAGCCGTCTCTCGCTCAGACTTGTGCAGTGCTGCCACCGGTTCAGCTCATTCCCCTCCCCCGCTACTTTTCTAGGATGGTTGCATACCACCTGCCAGGTGCCAATGTACCACAGGTGGTACCAGTACCACTGGTTGAAAAGCCCTGCAATAAAATATATTTATCTTAGGGTTGACTGTGGAGTTATTGCTTTCTGTGCTTGGTTGTTTGCTTGCAGACATTTTATTGCCTATCAGTTCTAGTGAATGTGGGGTTTATTTACCGTAGTTTACCTTGCCAGGGTTAGTGAGGATGTGGTTGTCTCTTTGGTAGTTCCTTGATTTGGGCATTGTTTCCTGCTGTATTATTTGTCTGGTATTAATTCCTGCTCATCTAAATGTAATAATCTGGATAGATGATTACAAATTTCAGACAAATAGAAACACATTGCAGCAACTCAGTACACCAGAAATAGACCTACAGAATATCTTCCAATGCAACTTTATCAAAATGTTCTTGATCACCTAACCCATTCCAGCACAATCAATATAAGTTATATCACACATCAAAAACATCTCAGAAACAATCAATGGATTATTATAACCACACAACTAGAACCCTCCAATGGGAAAAAAGTCCTCTCCTGTGTATCCTTTCAAAAACAGCATATTTGTTTTTCTTTTAGTCAGTGATTTTCCCTTGATGATAGCACTAGTTATAGAGCTTATCAATGGAATAAACCTTTTCTAAACAGTGCTGGACAGGCCTATTATCTGGTTTTATTTGGAAGGGGAAAGTAAGACACTAGCAAGTTAAAAATCTATTTCTTCAGTAAACCTGTCATTAAGACATTGGAGTTACCATGTTGAAGGGAAGTGACAGAGCAGCAGTTACAAAGTAGATTTTTGGAAACAAGTTGGTCCACTGGTTCTGAATTGCATTTGTAAGGGGTTCTTTTTCTTCCTCCACTTTTCTGGAAATACTGTGGGTAAGATCAATGGAAAGGGCCACATCATTTTCAAATTTTCTCTAATACTTTCAGTTTCCTCACACGCAAAGCTGCTTCCCATACTAGTTGCCAGGGGTTTTTTGCTTCCCACCTCCAGAAACTGCAGTAGCTAATAAATACTCCTAGCAGCTGCCGCCCCATCCTCCAATTCCTGCCTCTAGACAGAGAATGCACTCTTTCCAAATACCTGCCATCCCAGTAAATAATTTGTAATCATTGTAATTGTAATCCTTTTGAAAGAGTAATAGGAAGATTTATTACTGTTCTTTTTGCTCACTCCCCACAGCAGGCTGTTACAAATTCTTCTTGCTGGGAGATTTAAATTAAGTTCCATACAGTATTTAACACTAAATAAGCTGAATTCTTTTCAGAGATTATACCCTCATAAAAGAAAATTATAATATCAATGCACAAGTAACCGTTACCAAACCCAACTGATTCATGGGCCAGCTGGCATATTATACATCATTCTGCAAATACGCTTGTTAACTCAGTTCCCAAGTGAGCGTTGTAGCAACAGCTGACAGACAAGCATTCCCAGATTATGAAACATTTATTTAATATTCTTTGTACGGCCACTCGTCTTAAAAAGCTTCGAGCAGCTCACAACAAAAGGGAAAATTACAACACAAAAAGTCCTGTGCCTTAATCATCTCCTTAGGGTGCCCTGCAGCAAATTCCAATCACCCTCATTCCATTGGCTTTTGTTCTACTGCAGTGTTTCTCAACCTTGACCATTTTAAGGCATGCGGACTTCAACTCCCAGAATTCCACAGCCAGCAATGCTGGCTGTGGAATTCTGGGAGTTGAAGTCCACATGCCTTAAAATTGTCAAGGTTTCAAAGACTAGAAGACTGGGGGAGGGGTCAAACCAAGGGAGGGGGGGGGAAAGGCCATTTTAAGCTGTGTGGATTTCAACCCCCAGAATTCCTCAGCCAAGACGGAGTTGGAAGCCCACACAGCTTAAAAGTTGCCGAGGTTGAAACGCCGGGGAATCGTTTCCTCTGCGCATCCCGCGCTTTTCTTTCTCGCACCTCCGGAGCAGAGGAAACGAACCGCGCCGCTCCCCGAGCGGGAGGTCTTCAAGCACTCCGAGACCGGGAAGTGACGTAAAGGTCACGCGCCGGCAGTGACGTTTTTTTTGGCTTGCCGGTGGGGGAATATTTCCTCCGCTTCGAAGACCTTGTGCGAGTCTCTGCGAGGAATCCGGAGGCTTAGCTATGGTGACCGGCGGTCAAATAGGGCCTGCTGGCGGGAGTTCCGGCGCGGTTACCCCTGAAGGTCTGCGCGGCTGGATGCGAGGAGCTTATCGCTTTGCCACAGACCGCAATGACTTCCGCAGGTGAGACAGGTATTGAAGAACTTCGGGTCTCGACCAGAAACCCTACTGCAGTGTTTCTCAACCTTGACCATTTTAAGGCATGTGGACTTCAACTCCCAGAATTCCACAGCCAGCAATGCTGGCTGTGGAATTCTGGGAGTTGAAGTCCACATGCCTTAAAATGGTCAAGGTTGAGAAACACTGCCCTACTGGAAAAAGAGGGAGCGCCCTCCGCTGCTTCGCTAAAGCTTCTCGTGCTCTATCAACTCGTTTTTCCCTACCTGAGTTTAACACGTGCCGCGGCTGGGACTGCTGAAGGTTAAAAGCCCAACAATCTGCAAAGTACCAGGTTGGAAATATACGTGCCTCTCGATGTATCGAGGTTCGTTAATCTTGAAGATGTAGAAAAAGTTTCCCCAAAGCATTGGAGAACAAAGTCATAGATCATTTCCGCAACTGAAAAGATGTTAAGTTATTTGATAGTGTTGTTAGGTAAGACTACTCAAGTGTTTCTAGGTAGAAAATTATGTATTAGCATTCTGTATAATCGGTATCGGTTGTCATTAGCTCTCACTTATATTTGTTACAGAAACCTCGTAGTTAATCTGGGACTCTTTGCAGTGGGTGTCTGGGTCGCCAGAAACTTAACAGACATTGATTTGATGGCACCACAACCTGTTGCATAACAGAGGTGAGTATATACCATAGTATCCAATTTCTTAACATTTTTCGGTAAGCAAATTATTCATGTCAAGCCCAATTATTAAACTAATTTACACTTGTTTTATGCAAGCAACACAGCTTGATCTAGTGGTAAAATGATACCAGGCTAGAAACCAGGAGATTGAGTTCTAGTTCCACTTTAGGCATAAAAGCCAGCTGGGCGACTTTGGACCTCAGGGTTGTTGTAGGAAAATGGAAGGAATTTTAGATATGTTTGCCACGTTAAGTTATTTAAAAAAATAAAAGGATTAAAAAAAAATCTAAAAAACCCCCTGTTTTTTTAGCAAACCACAATGATTGCCAAAATAACAATACAGTATCCATCTAGTGACATCACATAAGTGCCACAATTATATATTTGAGTCCCAATAGGTCAAACAAAGTCATAGCATGACAAAGCATGTTTTCTCATTTTCAGCCTCCCCTCACTCCCCCACCCCCATTCCCTAATATTGTATAAAATGTGCTACATTCATGATCTTTGTCTTGGTTACTTTAAATATCAGCTCTTATTATTCTTAAAATAGAGATTAGGCAAAAATTGCCCACTTATCAAAAGCAGAAGAAACTATGCCTTTTCTAATATTGTCACAAAGTAATTTTCGGGGGAATGGATTTTTCTCCTGTCCTTGAGATGGGAATAAAGTATGCTGTTTAAAACTCACAGCTTTCACAGTCTTTCATCAGGCCCCAGGAAAAGGTAGGTGTGGTTTTGCTGCCCTCACAGAAAGTAACATGGTTCTCCAAAAACAGCTTTCTGAAAAGTCCTACCAATCCTGCTATAGACAAAACAACATGGGAAAATTACATAGCCCTAAGATGCAGGGGGAAGATGGGATTTCAAAACAATATTCTGCCTCCCTAAGTCAGAAATTTTCAGTGAAACATGATTGCCTCAGCACCTTTCCTCTTGCGCATTTACAGCACACAAGTATGCTATTTCCTCCAGCAGAGGCCAGTCAGAAACAACTAAATCAGCTTTTTTTTTTTAGCAGGGGGGAGAAGGGGTTAGGGGGAAACAGGCACTCAGTTTGTGCCTGATATTTATTAGCCTGCAGCTTTCATTTATTAGCCTGCAGCTTTCCAAAAGAACTTGCTCCAATCTTTTTTTACATTTGGTATTGCTGGTGCCTGGTGGGTAAGGGAGATTCAACTTTTCCCAGCCTGGTTTCTGGTGTAACCAATGGCAAGGAGAAACTTGGAATTCAGTCCTTTTTTGCTAGTTGCTCCAAACTATTCTTCCTACCTATTCTCAAGGCCCTATGTTTATTATTCAATGCATGGAATTTCCATTCTGGAATTCAAGGGCTCAAATGCAGCAAACTAACAATTGGCTATATATTCTTGCAAAAACTGGTAAATAACAAGCATCAAATGTAATTCTTTGCAGAGGCAGGAACTGATATTAGGTCCTGCAAAGCCATTTGATTTGTGTGCCATAGGAATATCAACCTCCTAGTAAATAGGTTGTTGGTCTTCCTCAAAGTATTTTTAAGTGAATAATTTTGAAAACTACAATTAGGCAGTGCTGATGAAGTCCCTTTAGCACAGTGGTTCTCAACTTGTGGGTCGGGACCCCATTTGGGGTCGATTGACCATTTCACGGGGGTCGCCAAGAAAGGCTGTCCGCCATTTTTTTTGTCCGCCATTTTTTTTCCCTTTTCCGGTGGGTGCCTTACCTCCCTTGGGCTGGGCCAGCTGGTGGTCGGCCTGCTCCGTCTCTGCCGCTTGCCAGCTACGCCTCGGCCGGCGCAGGGGGCGGAACCACGCATGCGCAGTGCTCCCGGGCAGGGAAAGTCCTTGACTTACGACCGGTTGGGTAGTCTTCGACTTACGACCGGTTTAGTCCTCGACTTACGACTGGTTTAGTCCTTGACTTACGACCGCTTTAGTCCTCGACTTACGACTGGTTGGGGTCGCGGCATTAAAAAGGTTGAGAACCACTGCTTTAGCAGCTGTAGCAAAATTAACTGCCAGATGGGAATTACTTCTATAGCATGCAAATTAGAGTCCCCCCCCCCATCATAACCTCCTGGAAGCGCCTCCCCTACATTCATGAAAATATTTGGATATGAGGTTTTCTTCCCTTTTCCCAAGGAAAACTCTACTTTCAAGCCAGAGTACCTTGGATCAGCTTCAGCCTGCTCCTCCAGTGGGTTGGCAATGAGATGGAGGCTCTGCTATAAGGGCATTTTCTCAGCAAATGGTAGAAGAATGTCTTCAATTGAGGCAAGGAGGCTGTTTACTTGACTCCTACTATAAAAACCCTTCTACCAAGTTCTGGCATTTCTTATACCACAGCCATTTTAACATAGAGGGCTGGTTGAATGTATTGTTCTTATTTGAAAATGCAAAGGAAAAATACGACCCAAGTCTACAATTTATGAACAAATACAGCCATTAAACATGTTTAGACTTTGTGGTATCATTTGTTCACAAACTGGAATATGTAAACATACCTAAGCAGACATTTTAACATGGGTTTCTAATTCTACTTGAATTTGTCTGCAAGAAATGCATAAAAGATAGATGTGGTATAAAAGAGGATTTAGTGGTACTTGGAAACGTTATTAACTATTAAACTGATTACAGTTATTCTTGTATCCCTAAAACTACATTCTTACTGAGAGCATACAGCAAACATTGTGATATCTTAAATTGATAAGTGGATTTGAAAGTTTAATCTGTGAGATGTTAATTCTGTAGCCTTTCTGAAAATATGAAAATATAGAATCTTTCTTGAAAGTCATTATCCCTAAGCAATTGTAGCCACCACTATGATTAGCTATATAATTTTAAAATCTTTTAGGATTTGTTTTAACATTCTCCCAGAATAAGAATTTGAAAATGAGAGTTGTGTCATACACACTTCTACCAGTTATAGATTGTGTATTTGTGAGGCTATATATTGCTTCTTTTATTCAGCTGAGCAGTGCCATCAACCTCTAATTTTTTTACCATTACATATTTTTCTTACAGATGTTATCTCTGTATGAGAAAATAGCAAGACGAATTGGAGAAAACAGAGGCACTCTTACCTGTACATCATTCTTCACTATGCTTAATTATTTGGCAGTATTAGGTTTTATACTCAATAATAGGTAACAGAATTCTATTGTTTTTTTGTTTTACTGAAATGTTTTTGATATATGTACATTATTTTGCAGAATTGAACTGTTAAGATTCTGACCTGAAATGTGAAATAAAGACATGTCAGTGCACTGGACTTTTTTCTTTTTTAATAGGAAATTTCAGTTTACAAAACAAGGTAAAAAGAGTAGATTTACAAAATCATAAAAACATGATTCATATTTCACTTTTAAAGAAGTAACAAGCCCCAGTCCTGTGTTTTAGTAGGACTATTAATTATTGAATGGAAAAATGCATTTTAAAAAGGCCTAGGTGAGGGTTAATTATGGACAACTTTCAGCCGGTATAACAGTTTGTGGTGCTTTGAGTTGATTGTATGTTATACATGGAAAAATTCTGTTGCATAGCATTTTGATTCCTTGAATTGCTCTATGTGCCTTTGAAGTTAACTGGAAACTATGAAAGATGTATTTTTTTTAAGTTGAGATGTTTTGCCTTTTGGAAGATTATCACTGCCTTTGCAAGACATCTTTTAACATATTAGTTAGCAAAAGCAGAATGATTCTTCATCAGAAAATCATTTCTTTTTTCAAAACATGGATAAAACATGGATAGCTTAATACAAAAGAAACGCAAACCAATCTATCAGTAGTCATCATAGACAAAATTAGAGGTCAAAAGGACCAAGAATGTAATCCTGTCACAGCTGTACATAATGGACAGAAAATTCCAATTTCCACTTTTGTGTCACTAAAGGTTTTTGCATTAAAAAAAACTTTAAATCCACCTCAAAATATCAGATTAAATGAAGTTTAAAAACAGATTAACAGATTGCTGGATATTGACAGGTCTGTCCTCTTTTATTCACTTCCATTCTACAAAACCTTGCAGAAGAGGCAGTATCATATACATCCCAAGTGTAGAATAAGACCACTTCAATATTTAAGATTATATAAGGAATAGTAAAAAGTGAAGCTGTAATTGCTACTCATAGCTTCCCAAAGACAAAATTTATCAACTTTTTCTATTCTTAAAGTTAGAATAATTTAGCAGTAACAAAAAAGTAGCGAATCCTTGCATTTAGGAAACACCTTCTTTAAAATTAACTTCTGAGTGTGAAATAGGGTTGTTTTGGTGTCAAAATATATCAATTCTCAGAGAAGACCTATTGAACTTTGTATGCTGAAAACCCACAATCTAATCCAAGCATTCAGCATGCTTTAGGTAAAAGCAATTTCTATACAATTTCAAAAAGCAAGTAGAAATAAAGCCTACTTCTTAATTTTAGGCTAATAAGGCTAATATACTAAATCTTACATTTTATGGAAATAAATTCTCTCTGAACTGATTGGAATGCGAATAAAATCAAGTTTGTTTGCTGGTTACTATCTGCTGCTGGAATAACATAACTCTAAACCCAGACTGCTTCAATCATCACTTCACTTACTAGGAGTTTTAATTGTTAAGTCTCCCAATTGTTAATGATTGCAGAATTTTAGTATATATATTGGGATTTCCTAAGTGGTGATAAACATTTTAGTAAGATCACTATATTCATCTTATATTTTGCTGGATTCCTAAGTAATAAAATTGATTTTCCCTTAAATGTAGGATTATAGCAGCACTAGGAACAAGTTTATGTTTGTGTTCAATTCCAATCATTTCAATATAAGCTGTATTGGATTTATAAAGAATTTTACAAGACACTACGTATTAGGACTGTTACATAGCATCCACAATTGTATAATTTTACTATTAAATTAGAGATGTAATAACATTCTTTCACCTTACTGCTGGGCTGGATATATAGGAAGCTATTCTTATTTCACTTAGAAATAGTGGCAATTGAGATGTGAATTTTTAGATTTTTCAACTGATAATGCATGCATGTATCCAAGCATTTATGTTCAAAAGAGATTAGGGTTTTTTCCTTGCAATTAAAGTTCTATGAAATATTTTAACACTATTGGTAGTGTATTTAACATCTCCATTTATAATCCCATTTAAAGTGAATTTGAAGAGCACAGTTCAGCCTGCATTAGCATTGTTGCATGCTCTGTATTACAAATAATCAGGCAGTCTTGACCCTATTGAGAAGTGCTACACCTCAAAATTGGCATATTACAGCTATGCAATAGTAACCATGAATAATCTTAAAGTACTGTGTTCAAGAATGCATTTCAAGTTATTAGACAACTAGATGTCAGGTCTAATTTCATGAAATAGTATTCAGTATATGGTTGATTTGTTAATCTTTTTTTATACAAAAGCATTTGTGTGCACTTGATACATACTATTGAAGTATTATCTGCATGAAGATATGTTGAGTCATTGTCATCTTTAACAGAAGAGAAAGAACATCATGGCAAAAGAGAACCATTATCATGCAAGGCACCAGTCAGTAGTTAAGAGCCTTTTTCAAACTGCTTTGTCAATAAGCTGCTCTAGGCATTCTTACCATTTGTGTTTCAATTACCAATTACTTGCTTAAAGAGGAATAATCCTAGCTAAAAAAAAATAAAAAATAAAAAAATACCGACAAGAATTTAACACAAAACCCAAAATGATCTACTTTTGAGCAAACCATTTGCATCATTAGAAATACAGTATTTAGACATATACAATAAAATACATCAAGTTGCTGGTAGGAAACATTTTTCCATTCACATATAGATAAGAAATGTTTTAAAAAAAACCCAAACCTGCTACCTAAGTATTGTAAAGACTCAGATTTGGGAATGAAGAAACTAAAAACCTGTGTCCCATGCAAAATATAGTTAGGTACAAGGCACCATTTTAAACTTTAAAAAATTGTTCATAAAGTTTTATCAGGAGGGAAAATTAATCCTATACCCAACTTTCACTCAATTTATAAACAATAGTTAGCAATACTGTTGGATGTGGCTGCAATTTGTGCTGGGGATAATTGTTATTTCAAAATTAACTTGTTCACTTTCCTTAGATATAACATTCATAAAATATGGAATTCTACAATCAGAAAGAGATTGTATATATAAAGAGACATGCTTTTTTCTTAGCATCTCCTTCTGAATCCATACAACACATTTACTTGTGCATTTTAATTTCTGTGTGTAGAAACTTTCCCTGAAGTGAATGAAAACAGCTCATTCAAAAGTAACAGCAATAAAAAAGAGGTCTCCGTAGTTCAGCTTTACCGTACAATAAAGAAATGTGCTAGGATATTGTCCTAATTTATTTCCTTGATATAGTTGGTAATATTTTCCATTGTTATCTAATAGGAGAAATAGCCATTATTTTCTTTTTTTCCTTCTTCCTATGCATTTTTTTTATTTATGAAGAGCTGTTTATTCTTCTGCAGATTTTAGAGATACAAGTATATCTAATACAATTTGATTTATATTTGATATGATACTCCTGTAAAAAAATTATATCCTGAATTGCTTCCCTCAACTTTATTTTTCATCACTAAGTTTTGGCAGTAGGCATAGAATTAGCTGATTTAAATATTAAATGTAGCCAGCTTACGTTTGTAGGTAAATTTAAAAGTTGTTTCCCAAAGATGTTTACGAGAAGTAAGTTACTCAAGTTAATGGGCTTGCTCCCTAGTTAGCATTCTTAGGATCATGTAACTTAACATGACGAAACTACTACCAGGTACGTATATGCTTTTAGTCATATCTTTGCTGGTACACTATGTTTTGTGTGAATGAATCACTACTCTATGATAATTATTTTCAAATCAGGGCTGATTGATCCTGTCAGCCCTGCAAGTAATATATATGCAAACAAAGGAGTTGAATGTGGCTAGAAAAAATAATAAGGGAAGACATGGTATCATTTATTATTCTGTTAGGCTTCGATTATAATGGCAATAGACAGAATTATCAATTTTTTCATTTTCTGCCAACCAGGACACTTTAAAACAGTGTACAAAGAATAGCAAGAACACCGCTTACAGCAGATATAAAAGAAACAGCATAAAAATGCTATACACTATCGCTTCCAAATAAAAGCTAATATTACAGAAACCTCACAGTGTTGGGAACAGCAAGCTCAATTCAAAAGTAAGTTACTTCCATCTCTTAAGATAACTCTTAATTGCACATTTTTATATCCCATGGCACTATTACTCACATGAGAGACTATGACTTTTCAAATCTTGGGAAATGTAAAACATTCATGGCTATCAATACACCCACCTCTCTGTTATCTTCCCTATATATCTCCTATAAGTGTCAGATGTTCCTATTTACTCAAATATGGATCTAATACTCAATGGAAGCTGTGCCAGCTTTTGATCAATCTTTCTAGTTTTGCTTTTTCTAGAGGTGGGTAACCTTTGAGGCTTCTACAGTTCTGAATACCTCACAATGATAAATTCTGCATCAGCCACAAGGACAGGAAAGAAGGTAATGGGTATGCGAGAAAGCTCAAAAACTCAAACCTCGCACAGAATCCATGAATTAGAGCCGCCGAGAACCCTCTCAAAATTGTCTAGCTGCCAGGCAGCATTTTCCTTTCTTTATGAGAGTAGAAACAACTGTAATGTTACATGCAAGATATTCCTGGGGATGTTGTGAATTATTGTGATGGGGTAGGGTGGGGTGGAGGTAGGGTAGCAAGATATTTTATGGCACTCAACGAGGAAGACAGTAAGAAAACAAATAATGGGAGAAAACTGAATTGGTAAATGCAAATGGCAGTGGCTGAAAGATCTTAATTTGTAAAAATGACCACCTTTCACTTTTGTTTTGAGATTCTTGAATAGAGGAATAATCTGAAATAATGATAATATTGAAGCAAAATAAGTAAGGCCTGCACGTCAGCCCCAACTATCTTTCCTAGAGATAATCTTTACCAAGCTTTTCACGTTGTAAAAATCATCGTGCTGATTTTTGCACTTTAATTCACCTTTCAAAGTCAATCTTACCAAAGCAAAAGGTCTGCTCCTTGATTCAAGTTATATTACATTGCTTAAATGTCTCTTAATAATTACAGTAGTTGACCTGTGAATTTATTATCAAGAATGCTTCTGCTAAAAAAAATCTTTCTGGAAAGGCAATTATGTTGTTTTATAAGTCACATTCGGGCTCTGAGTGTTCCTATCTGTTTGACTGGAAACTGTAATTTGACAGAATCAGAAAGTGAATCATAACACTGCATATAAGAATCCCATGCACTTCAATATAATTCCCTAGCAGGATGAGAAGAGACAAGTTGGTAGGTTTTTCTTTATTTTGTGATTCAATTTCATCAGGAATTTGCTGATGGATTTAAAATACCAATTCAGAATTACCACAGGAGAGCACATGAAAACACTGCATGTGCTAGAACCATGTCCATTTTTGTTTTAAAAAACCCCCCAGCTTGACACTACCACATTTGTGTTGGGTTTGTTGCAAATCTTCATAGACATTGATTTCTCCCACTCTGCTGAAAGCTGAATCTTAGACACAGCAATTTATATTCTTGGTTGGCTAGTACAGTCAGCTATTAAAGACCCTGTGGATTTTTCAAGGTTATGTACAAACCAGCAAAAGAATCCATTTCATGTACCTTGAGTGAATAATACAGAATTTGTATGCTGTATTTCTTAACTGAAAGGTAGCAAGTTGTTTAGCCGCAATGAGGTCTGTATTTTCCAAGTATGACCCTCACAAAGAACTGAAACAGTGGTAGTCATGAAAGGTTGAAAGTAGCCATGATAAATTGGATGTTAGTGATATTTAAAGTTTACATGAAGTGGTCAGGGGCTATTTCTTTAAGACATACAGTATACTAGAATTTTACTGTTAGATTTCCAGAGCTGTATATGTATAAAATGTGTCTGAGACAGCAAGAACAGCAAATAAGGGAAAAAGAGAATATAGGTGCACAGTTTAGGTGCAATCTCTTTCACTATAAGACTCCAAAATAAACCTCTTTAAGACTTCCCAAAAACACAACAAAGGGAAAACTGAATGGAAAAATGGTCATGAAAAGGAGATATTATTAAGGTGAAATGATCTTGTCACTCTATGTAATGGCTACTATATTCCTGACCATTTTTTCTTATATATGCAAAAACTTTATGCATTTAGGGTAAGAGTTCATTTTTAAAAATCTGCGTTTGTTGAACCACGTGTCATTAATACTGAAAACCTAAGCTTCACTGTAAACCTGAATGGATTCACAAGACCTATTCATGCAGTGATCATCATAAGATAAACAGTAATGACGAAAACCTTGAAAGTAATGTATCCCATATTAACTGTTATAATTACACAAGAAAAGTTAGATGGCAAATTCAGTTTACGTAGCTGTCTTGTTAGCAGTTAATAAGATTAGGTGGGAAAGAAAAACAGTACTTATAATTTTTAGCACAGATTCAAATTGAAGTATGCAATAAATTACTCAGATGTGTATATAATTTCCACTTTTGTTCATTCCAACAGATTGGGGTAATTGTAGGGTACAAAATTTTGTTTTGTTACCCAAAAGATATAAACAAGGACCAATGATCATATTTTCCCAGTTTAGAAAAATCATTGTTAAGAGTTTTTGTATAGTACAATTCTATCTACCTAAATTATGTTGGTTGGAAAGAACAATATACTATAATTGGCGAAGTATTTACACCAAGAAGTGCAACAACAGTTCACCACATCAACAGAACAGAGATAGAATTCTACTATTCATTTGTTTTCTTAAGTAATGTATAGATTTACGGTCAGTTTAATGGCTTTGTATCCTGGCTGTACACAGAAGTTTTGAATGTACCTACTTTTTTACACCACATAGCAATTCCTCTTTGAAAGAAAATAAATGGTCGTACACATTGGAGGCTGTTACTCTTTTTTTTGGAGGAGGAAGGGTTTACAAATGCACCTGCCTTTTAAAAAAAAATAGATGTTCTGCTACAATCTTATAGAACAGAGTTGCACAATGCACATAGTAGGAGGACCAATTTTCCAGACGGTGGATCCAAAATTCTTGCAACAGTATTTGTTCCTGCCTAGATGAATTAATTCCAAAGGCTTCTGAAAAAGAATCAGTTGATTGAGAAAAATGTCTCCTTTCAGGGGAGTGTCAGTCTTCTAACATTGTGTTTAGACAGCACCTGAGCTTGAAGTTGTGTTTCTGAGATACTTGCTCTGCCCTGTATAGTTCTTTGTGTATAAAAAAGAATGTACGCTTGGGTTTTGCATACCTCCTCCACGCTACATACATTCAGTTTGGAGTCATTGCAGTGGACCCAAAACCCTAAAAAGGAGAAAAAAAACATAGAATATTAATGGCAAGATTGTAGTCCAACAAATTCTTTTTAAATAATCATTGGGGGAAAAAACATCCAAAAATAATGCAATCAATTCCATAAGCCCAAAAGAAGGTTGAGAATTCTGACTGTGCCTTAAAAAGACTCCCTTGATTTCAGTTTTTCTGTTTCACTGATATTTCTGAGTGATAGTTAAGAGAAAAAACAATTCTAATTCTTCCTACAGAAGGCTGGAAAAATGTAATACAACATTTTGTAAAGAAGTGCAATAACTAATTCGAGAGGAAGCAATTAAATTCTTCATTCGTAGCAGATTTCTCAAAAGTTTGTTTTTCAGCTTAAGCAGTGGAAACATCAAATCGCTCTGATTCTGTCTCACGTACACACACAAACACACAAGCAAATAAAATGCAAGCCTGAGAAAAAACCCTCTTTTTTATAAAAAACAACAAGCAATAAAGTTTCTCCTCATTGGGTTTAAGCTACAGAAACCTAATAGATTTTTTTTATTCTAATGTTATTATCAGTGCAGTGAAAGCCGAGCAATATAAACTCACACAAAACAAATATGTTTTTATGGAAGAGATAAAATTTATACGATGCATTAATTTTTCCCCCTGTAATAAGGCTCACGCACCTCCCTCTGTGTTGTAGCAATATGCCGTGTAATGTCCTGAGCCAAACCCTTTCCCGTGATGCATCACCACAGCCGAGAGGTCATAGACAAAGGTCTCTTTGTCAAGAGAGGAGAAAGTATCCCTGCAGCAGTAAGGTTCCATGTTTAATACCTGGTCAAAGAGGACATGGACCCCAATCTTCTCACGGTGATTACGTCCAGACCACCTGCAATTTGAAAACATTGAATCAAAAGGACTTTTAAAATGAAACAGGATCTGATGCAACACCTTTGGAAAAAACACATACTAATTATTGTCATTATTGTATAAATTTTCAACTAATATTTTTTCAAATTTACTTGACATGCATTTAATATGTGTTTTATAACGTTGTTATGACCTAATTTCTCTTATATAACATTTGAAAATTATTATTTTTTATTTACCAAATCCTTGACATATTTTCTGAAATAGATAATAATAAGATAAATGTATTTATGCTAGAGCTATGATTCTTAAATGTCCTGGAAAACTACCAACACTGATTACGCTGCCAGATATAACAAATATTTTGTTTTAACCACTTAATCGTGTCCTACTCTTGGCAATTTTACAGGCAAGTACTCTCCATTCTACTCTGTGAAGCACTTTCAATCGTTGCAAGTTCATCTTTGTATCAGATTTGACGTTATCAAGCCAGCGTGTTCTTTGCTTGTCCCTTCTTGTTCCACTAACCATTCCGAGCATTATTGCCTTCTACAATGAATTTGAATGCATGAAATGGCCAACGTAATACGCAATAATTTTTGTCAGCACCACAGTTCAATTCTTCTTTGATCAGCCATTCTTAATGTCCAACTTTCACACCCATACAACATTATAGAGAAAACTTTTGCTTTAACTAGCCTGCTTTTTGTATTTATATCAATATCTCTGTTTTTCCAGATCTTATTCATGTTAACCATTGTAGTGCGGCCTAAGATTTTTCCTG